GGGGGGGGGGGGGGGGGGGGGGGGGGGGGGGGGGGGGGGGGGGGGGGGGGGGGGGGGGGGGGGGGGGGGGGGGGGGGGGGGGGGGGGGGGGGACGCGGCAGCAACAAAAATCAACCAACAACTTGGCAAAAACGGCTGCGATGCTTGGCAGGAGTCCACCGAAAAAATTGGTCTTGTTGTTTTCACATCTAAAAACCGTTCCGGTCTCCGCTCAGTACCTTCTAAAGCCCGTACTGGTCCAACTGACGCGGAAGCCTTTCGTGGTCACAAGCCAACTACCGCCAAAAGGGGACACACACAAGAAATACACACTGATACACATAAAGTAGATACACATCCAAGATGCCAAGATGGTGCACGGGTGAGGCCTGAATGCTCCTCTCGACACGCACAAACAAACAAGACAAATGCCATCCCTCATCCCATACTGCTATGCCGGGATACTCCATACATTGTACCCGCCTGGCTCATACCCGCCATACGCGGGCACATCGACGGGAAAGCTAGTGTATATCTGACACACGTGTGCCAGTCGGACAAGGCATGGTCGGTGGCTTGAACTCTTAATCAACCGCAAGGAGGAAATAACTAAGCCACAAACGTTGTACAGAAAGAGGGCCTAAAGAGGCTCAGAATCATGCACACCTCCGCCACGAACAACTGATGATCTATCTCTGGCAACAGCAGCAACCGAACCTCGTACACCTTCGACAGTAGAGTTGCTGTCTGCCTGGAGAAAGCAGGGGCTGCTTGACCAAACGTGCGCGACCCTTTACGAGGAATCAGAGCTCTGGATCACGTTCCCTTTCGGCTGAAACCACTTTCTTTTCCGCTACAACCATGCGCGCTTTTCAACAAAGAAAATAGACATTAGAACGGAGACGACGCACTCAAAGTCCCGGGTGCCTCGACACAACAACTCCCCCAAGTGCCTCCGACACCGAGGTAGCTGACCACCATCCACGAGGGCTACTGCCCGTCTAAAGGGGCTACTCCAGCACACCACGACCGCACTAGCAAGCTCACACGACCCGTTCGCTTTCTTCTAACCCTACCGCTTGTTCCGTAGCCTCCCAGAGCTGCCGGGCGAGGTCCTCGTCCCTAGCGGCGTCACTGCAGGGGACTTCGTTCTTGTCGCCGAAAAACTTTCCACCGCCGATCTCTTCGATCTCCGGAGATGTCGCCGCCCACACTACGGTCTCGGCGCCCTTGTCCGCGGTCCTCATGAGTGCCGCCTTCAGCGGCGCGCCCGCCCAAGCGACCCAAGGGCTGACCGTACCGTCGCCGAGCTTTGTGTTGACGATTCCCGGGGTCACGATGTTAGCCGTAACAAGTCGTCGCCCCCCTGATCGCGCCGCTTCTAGCCGCCTGTCGAGCTCGAACGTGAAGAGCATGTTGCACAGCTTCGAGGATCCGTACAAGCCGAAAGCGTCGTGCTTTTTCCCGGGGGGGGGCTGGAACCAGCGCGTCCCCGGGGGCGCCGCGGTGTGTCCGCCGCCGTCGGATACCGCTGCCGCCCAAATATTACCCCGCTTCTCAAGGCGAGACCCAACGTTTACTATTCTCGACGAAGGACCAGTTCCAGGAACGTTCTCAGGACTTTGCTCGCGATCTCCACGACCAATAGCGGATGCCGGAGCGGCGCCGGAGGCGGATGCCTTTCGCAGGTCCGGGAGCAAGAGGTGGGTCAGCAGGAAAGGGCCGAGGTGATTTACGACCATGCTCTGCTCCATCCCGCGAATTGTCCCGGGCTTCCCTGGTATTATCCCTTCGTTGAAGAGAACACCGAGCCGTTTTGTAAACACGAAACGATTGACACGCGACGAGGGCGAACACAGGCGGGGGGAATGAGGAGGAGGTGAGAGGCGCGAGTGAATCATTGCGATCTCGAGGGGCACACGATCTGCTATCGGCATGACGCGTGCGAGTGTCAAGCAGTAAGGCGAGCAAGACGTTATTTCGATTCAGTGAATATCCTAGAACCTTTCGCGAGCGGCACTCTGTACCGCGGTGAAGACATTGGGCAGACCACGTCAGTTTAGGGCGCCGAGGAGCCCGATAATGTCTGCGTCCCCAACATTTTCTAAATCATCGTGTGATTCCGTCGTTAGGCGGGTTAACGCCGAGGACGGCAAGCCGCGCAACGGCGAAAGGCAAAATCGGGAACATCACCACCACTACCAACGCCACCGTCGCCAACAAGAACGGCAGGCGCATCAACGACGACCACCGCAACGGCAACAATAACGGCAACAGAAACGACGACGACGACAACAACAACAACAACAACAACAACAACAACAACAACAACAACAACAACAACAACAACAACAACAACAACAACAACAACAACAACAACAACAACAACAACAACAACAACAACAACAAAAACAACAACAACAACAACAACAACAACAACAACAGCAACAACAACATCGTCACAAACACCAGAAGGCTAGTCTAGACACGTGTCTCATATTGTATCACCGGCGTTGTTGACGAGAACATGCAGCGGGAGGCCAGTCTTGTGGAACGTCTCGACGAACCCGCGGATGCCATCGACGCTGGAAAGGTCTAGCGTTAACGCATCCAACGCCGCGCCCGGCACCCTCCGGCGAATGTCTTCGCAGGCGGCGGCACACTGCAACCAAAATCACGGCGGGTACCCGGTAGAAATTAACTCAGTCTTTTCCCTGACGGAGGGGGCGACGTCCTCGTGTTTGGAGCAGGGGGGATGGTTCATGGAACGGGTGTTGGAACGAGGGGGGGGGGATGCTGTACCGGCGAAATATCTCTGCCTTCCTTCAGGAGAAAACGGTTCATCTCGCACCCATTCTCTCAGAGGCGGTCCTACCATCCCATGCGCTTCTCTCTCGAGGGCGAGGGGGAACTCGCTATTCTGGATTGCCCAGGAATGCTTTAAAAATAGTCGACCGCGAAATGTCTTGTCCGTTCTACCGGTGCACCGTTCTCAACAGATGGAGAGCTTTCACAAAAACTTTTGCAACAGCAGCGGTTGCACAATTAGGGGAACATTACCTAACCCAATACTACCACGGTTGGTGTGAGGTCAGTGAACACCGTCCGCGGATAGTTTCTAAGCTAGGCCAGCGTGCACTTGGATCGTGCTGTATGGCTCGATGTTGTATATCCCGACACAGATACCATCCATTGAGACCACCAGTTCGACCAAGTGGTAAGCGCCACAGGACATGCTGTTACTGGACGGCGTACAGAAAGCGCCCGCACTTAGTACCCTTTAGTTTTGCTGAGGCTGGGTTTCTTAGTTCCTCTTGTGGGCTACAAATGGCTTTTTTGTATTGGTGTAGGGGTTCTCAGTTCCTCTTGTGGGCTATAATGGCCGCCATATAGGGTTCTGAACCGGGCTCACAAATATGATGGTGCTCAAGTTCTCGCGCTTGATGTAACGTTTAAGTAAAGTTGTTGAGTGCTACAGTATCTGTACACACGATCGTGCCTTTTAGGACGGACCTTTGTCGGAGACCTGCAGGCGAGCACGACGCGGGCGCCCCGCTGCGCCAGTGCTGTAGCGGTAGCCTTCCCAATGCCTGCGTTCGCTCCGGTGACTATGCAAACCCTTCCGGACATGGTGTTGCTGCTGGCAGGCAACGGTTGTCTACCGAGGGAAGAGGGAAGCAAAGGGCATCGTTATGATGGCAATTTTTTGTTTCGGGTTAAGCCCGTCCTGTCGTTCCTATGAAACGGTGTCACTTCCTCCGCCTTCGTTGTTGACATGTTGCGTCTCCATAACTGAAAAATACAAACACCCAAAACCAAACACACTAACAGTATCATTTACTGTGCATGCAGCTCATGTCCCAGGCATATGGCTATCTGTCAAATTTCGGGTGGGTTATTAGGGTTACAGTGTAGGGTTGTGGAGTTAGGGTCTACCATTATTACACTTTTCAATTAAGCGTGGTGAACAGCAGCGGCGTGGCGATATCTGCTGCATACGGGTGAACGACGAACACAAAGCGGGGGTTGGCCATCACCGGATGTTTGCTGCCGGAATACTTTGATCACAAACATTTCCGAGGGCGGGGCGCAGGGCGCAGGGCGGCCGGGAAGAGGTTCACAGGGAGAAGACTACTGCTGTAATCTACCCAACGGCCGCATGTGTGTAGACTAGCCTACAGTACACCAACAGCAGTACTACCGCACAGAGTTCAACCGCCGAATAGGCTATGTACGTGTACCGCCGAGGAAAGTCTCTGAGGCTACGATTGTAAAGGTCGTCGTGGCGTGGTGATGCTAATAAGCCCTTCTGCATTGCTGCCGCGGCCTCTCTTGTTCCTGACACGCACGGGATCGAGACGCCATCATGCAACCACAACATGCTCCCTCCGCGACGCCTTGCAATAACTCACCTGTTACGCCACCAGAGCCATGCACCGACTGCCCCCGCCAACAGCAACGGGTAGATGTGGTCTCCTCCGCCCCATGACTTTGGCTGTTTCTCTTCAGGCATCAGGGTGAAGAGTGCGGCACAGCAGTGAGGGAGGAGGGCGGCCAGGAATCAGTCGCAAAAAGTGGCCTGGTGAGAGGGCACGGGATCACGGGACTGTGCGAAGTTCCTCCCAATCAGCTGTTTTTTCTGGGTGTTCCTGTGTTCCCCCGCTTGTTTCGCCGCCTTATATTGCCGCATCGCCGCACTACTGCTGCTGTACATGTACGATGCGTTGCCTTTGCCACACACAGCGGGCGAGAAACCGGACGACGGGTCTCCTGCTGGCTGGAGGTATATACTGCTGTACGCAGCAGCACTGCTGTCTTACGGCTGTGTCTCTTGACCCCCGCGACAGCTCAGCATGGCTGCTGCCGAGACGACTACTGCTCTCCCAGAGTTCACCACGACGGTGCTTCCTTCCAATGGCCAGGTGCGTTTTCAGTTCTCCCAGGTTGCGTACTGCACCCGAACACACAGCAGTGTCGCTCAAGGCGATGGCGTTGCCTACCTGACAAGCATGCGGCAGGCCTGGCAGCGGCGATGATTGCAGTGTGCAGGATAGTTATACACACGTCAGGAGCGATTGACTTCTGACTTACGACGTTCGCCAAGAACATCGGCGGGAGCGTGGGAGAGCAGCAACCGCTTGCTTGATGCCACTCCTTCGTGGTCCCACGAACGCTACGAGTGCTGCTGAAGGACGTTGCGACGAAGCATCGTCTGCTTGGACGCCTTGGGCTTTTTCTGCATGATCTGCGTAACTGCTGTGAACACATGAGTTGGTTCCGTCAAAGTGCAGACGACGTACCTTTGCTGGAATCACTGATCAAACTTCAGTGTTTAGGGCTTGAGTTGACCCTAATCAGCCTACATATTTTAGTATCCAGCCGGTTTTCACTGCGAAGACTTCAACACATCCCCTTCGACCGTAGTATTTTCTCGAATGGGTAACATGTCTTTGACTGCATTTCAACTGCTGTATGTATTTTTCTAAAATAGAAGTCACGCTTTCGGCCAATCCCACTGCCTCGCCCCGTCCCTCCGCCCCAAGCTTTCGACCAATGCCACCCCCCCCCCAATCCGTCCCGACCGCCCCAGCTGCTGGCAGAGGAGACAGACGAGCTCCTAGCGGCGAGCTTGGCGGCGATGAAGGCAGACCTCGCCGCAATCCCGGCGTGGAGCGGCGCTCCCTCCCCGACGGACGAATTTCTGCTCATGTTCCTGCGGGCCGAGGTGTTTTCCCCGTCGGCGGCTGCGAACCGTTATCGCAAGTTCTGGAAGGTGTGTGTCCCTTCTTGCTTGGGCACGCTCGGGGAAGGGTTATATCATGGCGGCTAGGCTTAGGAGTTAGGTTTGTCTCTGATGTGGGCATTTGAAACACGTCCGCGCACATAAGCCGATCCAAAGAGATTCCAAGGTACCAGTTAGAGCCCTTTTCGGGTGACCCAACACATACACCTCTCTCGAGCGAACGAAACCGACTCTAGTCTAAGAAAGGGGCGTAACCAGTGGATTATTAAGTCACTGACTGAGTAGCATCATGGTTACGCTTTTTTCTATGCAATAGACTCCCCTTGGCCGCCTTGGCCGCTGCTTGTTGCACGCCACCAACCAGGCGAAAATTACGCTGTGCGGTGAAGAAAACGCGGCTCTTCCCATCAAGTTTGAGGACGCCCGGGCGGCACTGGAGTCGGAGTTCGTCCAGCTGGTTCCAGGGACCAGGGACATCGAAGGGAGACAGGCAAGAGTTTCTTGCTAATAATATCTCTGTCGGTCGAAGATGTCTGTTTTGGAATCGGCAACCTTCACGGCACTCAGCCTTTCAATGCCTCTGTGCGGCTGTGACAAGTATTGCGGCCACTCCTTGACATCTGATGGTCATGATGGATTGCTGTCAGTCTGTAGTGATGAACGCTTTTCGGTCTTGTTTCTGATGAGTTTCCAGGTTGGTATTAGGGTTCCGATACGTTAGACCAGCAGTCAGTGATGATGAATCGAGCAGTTTGTCCGACCTACTTCTTGACATTCTCTGGTGTGTGTTACCGAAAGAGGTCGTTCTCGGCCCAACGAACACGATTCCACTCTCTACCAAATCTAGACCTGCGGGTATCGAAAGCGAGAGAGACAGAGAGACAAAGAGGCTGAGAGATAGAGACAGAAACAGAGACAGAGACACAGACAGAGACGTGTACCGTCACTGACGACATGTGTCATTCCCACCACCACCACCCCAGCGGGAGCAGTAACACAACGAGGACCGTCGACCCCGCTACCCCGCTTAACACGAGCAACAAATTGCAGCAGCAGCGGCAACAGCGGCAATAACAAGACCTGAACATCCACAACAACAGTAGAAAAACTACCTCAACGGCTTTCCGCGCCTCCGGTACGAGACGCCGCTAACGCGAGCGTGTGCATCCACCGGCCTTCCATCAGGTGGTGATGATTGTTTCCAGCAACATGGACAAGAAGTTGGAGAGAAGGCTAAGGCTCCTGTCGGTGTGGTACGTGATGCTAGCGGCGCTGGAGGACGTGGAAACCCAGAGACGAGGATTCTGCTTCGTGGGCTACCACAAGGCGGTCAAGCGTAGCCAGGTAAGGTAGTTAGCATGAGTCGGAGAGATGGCACCCCTACGTGTTAGCCTTTCTTATCGCGTATTTCTCCGCAACTAGGAGGGTGCGAACACCAACCGATACCTCTCAGGAAAGTCCTCGAAGAAATGTTTCCAAAACTACCCTCTTTCCGGCAGTGGTATCCCCTGGTTGTGGAGAAAAACACCAATAAAACGCTGACACGGGGGTGCCTTTTCTCCGACTCTTACGGTATGCGTGCACTCTTATGTCGCGCGTTTTCGTCTGCCAGAAGGCCATGCGCTCGTCAGCCTCCACAAGCTGTTTCTCGCAGTCGACAGGGTATACGCCCCGGCGGTGCTATCACGGTGTTCCAAGCACAAGATGGGGTGTACACCCCGGGGTCGGCGCGTTAGACACGTTACTTTCGCCTAGTTATGCTGGGAAAATGGCAGAGTCTTGGGATATATGCCGCGAACGAAAGGGAGTCGTGCGCCCACTCATGTGGTAACGCGAACGGTGATGACTGGTGCACAGACAAATCAAAATCACCCCAAGCCCCGTCAAAGTCCTTTCACCCAAAGACCGTGGACGATGTCCGTCCGCCAGAATCCAGAAATTTCGGTCAATCCGCGTCGTCTTCATATTTTGATTGTTATTTTACCAATCAAAACCTGCGTGCCGCAAATCTGTTTCTCGCCTGCCGCAACATATCTGGAACGAGGACAATGCCGTGTTTCCGATCAACTACGAGGACGCACAGAATTTCGGGGAGGGAAACAAAGGTCCATGCTACTGTTGCGCGGGGAAAATTTGCAGCAACGCTGATGGCTCGGGTGTACGGCGGTAGTCCGAGCAACCTGCCATCCATGAACAACCCTCACCGAAAGGAACTGTCGGACTATGGGTGCTGGAGTCAACTTCGCACTAGCTTGCCTCGTTTGGCTGTTGCTGCTGTCGTTGTCGTCACATTCGAAAACCCGGTCTTTGCCAAGTCAATCTTGGGCTATACAGAGCAGCTTAGCCGTGCTTTTGCGTTCTCCTTGTCCCGAAAACGACCCCTCAAACCCGGCAGCTGTACACGTCTCAACGTCGACAGCGTAGCCAACGAAAGCAGCAACAACAAGCAGGGGCGGCAGGAGGAACGATGACAACGCTTCATGTTTATTTTCCGCCATGTTGGTGAACGCGCGTTGACCACATTTATTTTTTCGACGAATCCTTATCCCCCCCGTCTGTCGCTAACGCGCCTAGGCGGACGCGACGTTCGTCAAGATGGTCATGCAGAGCTTGCAGGGGGCTCTTCCCGTTCGAATCGGCAGCATTAACATCTGCTACCCACCGACGTTCTTCTGTGTGGTATGGGCCATCATTAGCCCGTTCCTGCACGAGTGAGTTGTGCTTGTTTTCCTGGAGGTTTAATTAAGTCTGACGATAGTTGTAGAAGCTACGGATGGTCACTTGTGGTGGAAACGAATACTGCAGGTTGTATTGAAGCCTTGTCTGCTTGGTCCACCCAGCTCTCTTCTAAATTTTCGATTAATCTCCTTTGCTCTTCTCGGAAGAAGGCTACTGCTTTGGAGATGTGCAATCCTTTTCTATGAAGGGGTTTGATTCGCCCGACTTGGTTTGCTGCCCGAGTCCCGTCCGTACTGAATGGCAGGAGCGTTCGCTCATCACCCTGCTTGTGAGTTGCACAGACAGGCGCTCTTTGTTTTGCAGCATTTCGTCTCGCATTGAGTTCATGACCACTATTCAGACATCACATAGTGGCCAAAGCAGGCAAACTGCAAACTCAGAATAGCCCCCTTCGTAGCCTGGGCCGGCCAAAAACAGGCATATCGCTCCGTCCCGGCATTGTAAAGATGCGAGGTCAATGGTCTAACGACTACGGCATGTGTTTACACCAGTGCACCCGCCCCCCGCCTCCCCGGCTTTGCGCAACACAGAAAGTCCATACCCACCCATCCGTTTCAATGTTCCAAAATGTTCAACTTACTCCGTGTCGTGGGCTTGTGTATTCTGGTGTCGTAGTTTGTTCTTGTTGTTCAGGGGCTTCTGTTCTACATACCCACAAATGAATATGTTAGCAGTCGATCGAACGACGTCCCCATCGTAGAGAGCATGCGCGGTCCATCGTCGTCTGGCGAAAGCAACAAACACACCAGAACTCCCCCCGCTCCCCCTGCCGCCATGCATGCCACGCACCCGTCAGGAGAGTGAAGCGGAGGGTTCGAGTCATCCCCGGAACAGACGCTGAGGTAAGCTTTAGGCTTTTTCACGAAGAAGACACAAAACATCGAAGTAAAGTCTACTCCCCATTTCAGAAAAACCCCGTTCGCCGAAGGGATGTGTGAAGAACACTATTTATTGTTGGGCATGCGCGTTGTTCTACATCATGCGTCCCCAACAACGTCTACCATGGCTCCCGGGTTGAGAGCCACGTCTGTAAGGATCAAGGAGCCGTATCGCCGCCCCCCCCCCGTACTACAAGAATTGGCGTGGCCCGTTCTGGCTTGATTGTAGGGTTGCGAGGGTGTTCAAGTACGTGTTTTGAAAAAGGATTACGGACATACATGCCATCCGTTCAATATACCCCCGCCCTCCTCCCTTTTACGGTTGCATGGGGCTAGGTGCTAGGCGTCCTCGGCGCCATCGTCCCGCCTGACGGCTTGCCACCGCCCATGGGCCCAAAACCCACGGAGTTTTCGGCTTGGTTGGCGGAACAAGCTCAGAAGGATGCTTGATGTTGACGCCCGCAAATGCTGTCACTTTTCCTATCGGTCAACATTGGTGCCGCTACTAGTGGCCGAGTGTTTGTACAAGCGTTTCCCCCCGGCAATCATTTGAACAGTAGCAGCAGCAGCAGCAGTTGGTATGGCGATTTTTTCAGTTATTTTGTGAGGTCGGTTTCTTTTCGCCGATTGGTGAGTTTCTCTATTACTTGCATGCATGTCGTGTTGGGCTTTTGAAAGCCGACCGACGTGTAGGCAGGCATGCATGTGAGTGAGGAAAGCGTAGCCTCTCTCGCCCTTCGCTTAGCAATTCCTTTCGTTGTGTTTATGACCTATTGAAGGTCACATGATTTTGTTTTTTGGTCCTTCAGCGGACTGACTTCTTCATGGATGGATTTGGATGGATGTGAAACAAATTCAATTTATGCTGCGACCTCGATGCAGCAGTCCGCGTTGAACAGCGACGAACATTTTGACATGTGTTTGGAAGAAAGAAGCAGATGCTTCGCTCTTTTACGCCCCGCGATCATTCTGCTGCTGAAACGTTTCCACGTGTCTTATTTCTTCGGGACGTGGTTGTTGTACACGGAACGGGTACACGGTTACACAACGGGTGGGCAGACATGCATCTGGACGAAAAAATATAGGCACCAGCAAGAGGAAGCTGGTCTTGACCGAATGGATGTGTGAACCCAATACATACCCCAATATCCCATCACCACATGATAATGACAAAGTGCTCATGGATCGCCTTATTTGGAAAGATATTTATAGATGTGATGTGCTCTGCCACGGGTGGAAATTGATACCATCATGTTTTATCGTTGAATCTTTACATTAGACTGGTCTCGTCTACAAGGTATCTGTACAAGCTGGGCCAGCCAAGAAGCTAGCAAAATGGTTAAAGGCGATTTCCGAGGCGGTTTTTACGAACTAGAACCTAAAATTTTGATATGCGGTTGGCAATGATGTTACAAATGTCCCCGANGATGCAGGAGCCGGACGATTTCTCAAGGTGGAAGTTGGTAACGAGATGGAAAAGTGGCTCAATCAGTCGGACAACATCGAGAANGCGATGATCGAATCACCTTGGAGGGTTTGGACCAGCCGTACACCTTCCCAAACGATGAAGACTCCAGCGAGAACGAAGGAGGTTCGGAGGACGGCAGCGATGGGCCCGAGGGGCGGGACGAGGAGGGCGCCGGAAGGCGCGAGCCGGTCGTCGGGGATGAGCGCAACGGTGCCAACAGCGGGGAGGGCATGGAGGGCGCTGGATACAGCGATGAAGACGACGACAGTAAGTTTGATTGGCACTACATAGACTACAGTTAATTCATTGTCCTTGTTGTTCATCTTTTCTTGTGCTATTTGAGATATTGCTGATATTCTGTTTCCGCCTCACGTCTAAGAACTAATGGTGTGTTCACTTCAGTTGAGTAACGGCGATGACACCCGTACGTTCCTTCTCGTGTTTCACGGTACCCTTCGTCGCAGACATGTCTCAATCCCAGACCGACGCGCTAGCTCTTTTGGACGAGGACGACAGCATGGACCCAGACGACCCGGAGGACGAGACGCAGGGAATGGAGATCCCGGCGGGCTTTCCGCCTTCAAGAATCTACCTCCGCTGCTCTTGACAGATTTCTTTTGCAACGTGGAGTGTTTGTTCGGCTGGGCATGGGGTGGTTCGGTGGGTTGATCATTCAGCAATCTCCGCAGCGCCACCTGTACGACTACTACANCCTTCAAGAATCTACCCCCGCTGCTCTTGACAGATTGCTTTTGCAACGTGAAGTGCTTGTTCGGCTGGGCATGGGGTTGTTCGGTGGGTTGATCATTCAGCAATCTCCGCAGCGCCACCTGTACGACTACTACAGTGTGCAGCTGGAAGTAGACCACAGTACGCGCAATATGAAGCTGCCCTTAGACAAGTACAGCGGAGATCCAGACGCGGCGGTAGGCTCATGGGTTTGCTTGAGAGCGTCAGTAGAGCGGGAAGGGTACGGAACCCCAACGTCACTCTTGTGGACCAAGACGGTTGACAGTTGCCCCATGGGGGGGTGTTTGCGGGTATGAAACTCTGCGTCAAGTGCAGTTCAGTAGTGCACCAATTGAGTAATCGATGATGAAATAAGAACAAGAACACCGTTTCTGGAGACAACTGGACGACGAAATAAGAACCTGGCAAATACGAACTTGTGCTCGGCTTGGGGCAGCCAACAAGAAGCGAGCCTCGCTCCAAATAAGAGGTTCTTCAGTGCGGGCCGGTTCTGTATACAAGATGACAAGATGTGGGCCAGCCAAGAAGCTCACTTTGGTTGTTTCGCGTCTCACGCTGCCAATTCCACGAGTTTAGGCTTGAAAATTTGTGGCTACGAAGATAAAAGAGGATGCGCCGGTGCCAGAATTTTTCCAATCTGAGTTGATTTGTTTGGGTATTGAATGCTCAATTGGCGATTTAGTCGGGGATGGCTGCGGTACTGAAATCAGTACATAAACAAATTTACAGATTAAGCCGAAAATTGATGTGCACTTACCCGGGAGCATTGCGAGAACAATGACGGTGGTTGAAAAGGCTCAGGTCATCTTCCATCAAAAGTTATGGCCTCGTAAAAGATCCTCTACAACACCCAAGATACTGAGGAGAAGTGAGGGTATGTGGATACCTAGATATGGATCTCNTTTTTTTTTTTTCGTGAGGTATCCCTTTATTCAACAACTGAGAATCCCAATATAGTTAGTGGTTGTTGTGGACATAAAAAAAAACACCACACCCGATTCAGGGTCATTTATAAGACCGATTAACAACCACATCAAATTTTAGTTTCAAGATAGTGTTGTAAAACCCGCCTCGGAAATCGCGATATCTGTGGAGAACACCTTCATAAAGGTTGAAACTCCCCAACGTCTGTCGAGGACGAAACCCTCTTTTCCACAATGGCGTCGACAAGAGATGTCAGTCGTACGTCAGGTTAGATCAAATCTATGTGAACCATGAGATTTCTTTCTCATTTAAAATGAGCGCCTAAAGAGGACTTTCGGCGAAAAAAGAGGGGGGCTGCNTTGCGAGAACAATGACGGTGGTTGAAAAGGCTCAGGTCATCTTCCATCAAAAGTTATGGCCTCGTAAAAGATCCTCTACAACACCCAAGATACTGAGGAGAAGTGAGGGTATGTGGATACCTAGATATGGATCTCCCCTGACAAAGTACGTACGCACATACAGACCTAAAGAGCATCGGATTTGTGTGTGTCCACGATGGCGCACCCCAAGGGGCTCACTCTCGAACCAGCTTAAAGCCGAGCCAACTCGGTCGAGCTTGGCTATCCTCGCCACATATCAAGGAAGAAAATAGAAGCCACGGCCAGTGGTGTGGTATTCCCACTACACTTGAGCCCCCCTGACTCGCCTGAGAAGGGGTGTCTACATTGGCTCTCGACTTGAAGAGATTTTCTTTTCTCGCGCTAGAACACGTTGTACACGGGATCGTTGAAAAACGATGTCGGGTAACAACGAGAGCAAGAAAAAGCAGGCGAAACCGCAGCAGCAGTTGCAATAGCAGCAGCAGCAGCAGCCGCAGCAACAGCCGCAGCGGAAATCGCTCAAACCGCCTAACCCCAAATCCGCGGGAGCCGGACATGGCCAACCCAAAGCGGGGCAGGAAAGGCGGACTCTGACTCATCGGGAGGAGGTAGCGCTCCTAAAACCGATAGCGGAGAAGGTGAGGGATCGGAATCCTACTCATAGGCAGCCCAAAGCGCTCTTAAGAGCACTGGCAGCGAGGACCCGCTGTCCCAAAACCGCTACGAAGCCCTGGCTGACGCCCACGAACCTGAAGAGGGTGAGGTGGAAACCACGGCAGAGGGTGTGGAGGACCAACCTTCTGGTCTCGCGACAGATTTGCTCGAAAATCTGGACCAAGAGGGCGCGGCTTCGGCCTTGGCTCCCGGGAGCGCGATGGAGAAGGTAGTAGTGCAAGCGCTGACGAAGGCGGTGGAATCCGGAGATACTCCACCGGCCTGGGTCCTACAGCTGGCGCTCGGCACCAAGACTTACACGGACGACGTCAGGGTTACCAAGGTGATGCCTCGTAGCCTTGCAGCGGACCTTGCCGCTGAAAACTTCCCGGCAACCCCGCAAGTTAATGCACCGGCACCACCGCAAGTTAACCCACCTGTCCTCCCGGCTCAATCGCCGCAACCCACCCACACCAACTACCCAAGCATTCCCCAGACTAATTCCGTAAACCCTGTAGCTAAAAGTACGGTAAACGAAGACTCGCTAAGTTTCAAATGATTCACGCTGAAGAACGCCGACCTCCCTACCGACCTCAAGCTCGAGGGTCGCCCCTCAGAAGATGTGCCAGAGAAAATGACTCTTTACAAAGCGCACATCCGCTTGCTGTCGCCAGACGATGCGTCAGAAAACACGATCAACCACCGTACTATCAAACACCTAGCGCTCTTCGTAAAAGGTGCTGCAGCCAAAAGCCTCAGCCTCATGCTCAGCAATGCGCTAGAGTGGAGGCCGGAAGCAAAGCTAGCTGCGCTTCGAAGCCAGGCTGTGCTTATCACACCGAGATCACCTACCACGTGGGATGAATGGGTCACTGCTTTCACCACCCTGTTCGCACCCGCCAACAGAATCTTGTTACTTGCTAGAGACGTCATGACCCTCCAAGCAAAATCTGAGGAATCCGTTGACGGGTACGCTCTCAGGGTGTCGCAATCATACTCACGACTCCTGGCGGAAGCCGAACGCACAGCTCGGACGCGCATGAACACGCTTTTAATCAGGCACTCATTGCATCGTTTGAGAACGGGTTGAAACCTGAAATCCGGGTGGAGATGATCAGGGAGGATGCCTCGCAGTCGTTTATGGCATCGAAAGCCCGTGCACGCAAACAAGAAGCGAACAAACTGCGCTCTGTTCCCCCCTCATCTTCCACGTCGGTGTCCTCGATGTACCATATCTCCCACGAAGCTCAGCTCGAAAACGCCACAGTGCGCCTGGAAAGGCGTCTCGACGACCTTGAGGAGACCACCAAGCACATCTCAAGTGTGCAGCGCGGTCGCGACTCAGGCAGGGGCGGAGGGGGCGACAAACGCCCCCGTTCCCAGTCGAAGGGCGCGGGCTTGAACTCCAGCAAACCGAAAGTGGTGTCGTTTAAGTCGGGCAGTAAGTCTGACCCCGCAGTCGGGCGTAGAGGGGCGAAAGAAGTGGACGAACCGTGCGATTTTATCGCGTGCAGATTCAACAAAAGCCGCTTCACGCACACTCGGGCTGACTGTAATACGGAGGCCAAAGCGCTGCGGGAGGGGTTTAAGGTCACGCAGGAATAGGGTTGCCCGAGTAGGTGTACTCCCTCCGCCAACCTGGGACATTCGTCGACTAGCCTT